CGAGGCAGATGGCCGGGGTGGCAGTGACAGTGCAGAGGACACAGCCGCTGCTGCTGCCAGGGGTGAGGACAGGAAGGCTGGGGCCAAAGGTTTCATCATATCTTTCTGGAATGCAAGTTTTGCCTAATGAGAGGAAAAAGACCAGGAATGGGGTGAGCAGGTTGTTGTCGAATAACAGCACCACAGAGAAGTCTTAAATTTAAAGTCTACTTTCAGGAGTGAAGAGATGATTATTTTCCCCAAGCTGGTGTCAGTGTCTTTTAGTATTGATATAGTTTTATTTTGAGTTGTTCCCATTTCAAGTCTTTCTTTGGTCTTTGATCCTGGATACTAGGGCACAGGGCATCTCTATGAATAGACACAAAGGGGCTCAGCAAGAAAGAAATAAAACAAAACATGCCCAGAAGTTTCCTGCTTAAGCAATGGATCCCATTTCAAAATTCACACTTACGTTAAACCACCTTGTAGCTTAGAGAAAAGTTTCTTGATTTTTCTTTTATCTTTTTTTTTTTTTTTTTTTTTTTAGAAGTACGACCCTTCACATCACTGCTCTTGGATAAACTGAAATTTAGGTAAGTAACTGAGTTCATTCAGGACATTAGGGACCCAGGAAGAGTAAAAAGACAAAAAAAAAAAAAAGTTAATTCCTTCCTTTTCCTGGCCACATAATGAGAATTTCCTGAAAAATTAGCTAAATTAAGTATCTGTTACTGGGAATGACTATTAGTGGACTAGAAACTTTCTCTATTTAAAGGAGTCCCAGGGTAGAATCTTCATGTGAAGTAGGAAAATAATCCTTAATTTCTCTCTTTTGCAATCAGAGGAGTTGTGCAAGATGGGTATGCCTAATGCAGATACCACCAGCTTGCTGCAGAAGCCAAGGTTTTGGAGAAGCTGGAAGGTAAACTCAGCACCACCTCCAGCTGGCCAATCCCAGCTTCATCTCAGACTGAATACCATGCTGGGCCAGGTCCCAGGGAGAGTGTGAAATCCATCCATCTGGGTATTTATATGACACCTACTGTTGAAGTTCCTAGGTATTTTTGCAAAACACAGAAAACTGTACATATTGAGAACAGGTAGGATAGGCCGATCACCAACATGCCTGCTAGAATGGAATATAAACACTACTTTCTTGCATACACGTGCACGCGCGCACGCGTGCACACACACACACACACACACACACACACGGGAAACACAGGGATATTAAACTAAATGGATGGATTTTTGTTTTATGAAAGCAACCTCTCTGCCGGGTTCCACACATCCCAGGATTCCTCAGGCATCACTTGCCCTGTCCTGAGTCTTTGCTTTTCCTTATATAGTAAAGAAGATAGTCTTCTGACAAGGTCTTGGTAAAGAGTAAGGTATTAGTTCTTCTTTAATTTTATTTTTTATTTTAAGATAGGGTCTTCCCCTAAGTTATGAGGCTGATGTTGAATGTGCAATAATTCTGCTTCAGGCCCCCAAGTAGCTGGAATTACAGGCATGAGCCACCACACCCTGCTGGGCATTAACTCTTAAAGAGGTTCAGTTTTTCTTTCCTAAAGGAGCTTTCTTCAAGGTGTCCTTATAGCAGGAACTAAGCAGTTCATTCTAAAATTTCTGTCTATGTAGGTTGTTTAAATTCACAGCCTTTAGGTTTGGGGTGTTACTTTAGTGGTAGAGCACATGCTCAGCATGTGTGAGGTCCTAGGTTCAATCCCCAGCATGGTCAAGATAAAATAGATAAATTCACAACCTTCCCATGACTGTTAGTCCCTCGGTCCTCCTTACAACTCCTGCCCAACCCAGCAAGGCTGCCCTCCCCAAAAGGTGAGCAGGTGAGTGAACTTACTGCTAAAATGCTTGGGCTCCGCTGGAGTTTGTTGTAAGGGCTGTATTTCRGCTTCAGTGGCTTCCCTGCAACTCGGTCTTTATGCCTCCGGCTAGAAATGTGCTGAAAAAATGTTTGATGCATAAGCTAAATCCATGAAAGATACATTTCCTACACAGAGGTTGCTGGTTTCTCCATTCCAGCTCTTGGTTCATCCTTCTAGAATGGTTTGGGTAAAATCTTTACTACCTCCTTTAAGACCTGCTTCCTCCTCCCATTGTTCTCTATGACCTTCTCCTTTCCATCTTTTGTTTTCTATAGGTCTTATCAGGTTTTTTTCTGGTGTTTCCACTGTTACTGAAGAATCTCTCTACCTAGACTTTGGGGCCTTGGCAGACTTACCAGCGGCTTCTGCTGGACTGTAAGCTCTGTGTGGTTTTTATGTCCATCCTTCTATCCCTAACACTTAACCTGGAACCTGACATATAGTAGTAGTAGATGCTCCATTACTGGATACTGACTTTCTTTTCCACAGAGAACTTTTATGTTGCATAAGTTATGCATACTATAAAGGTTAGCAAAGTTAACTGTGAGCACAGTGAGAACCACTCTGTAGATGAGGAGGAGATAGAGATCTTCAAGTAGTGACCCCAAAGAGCAGAGTACACTAATTTCATTACCTGTTTGAGTTGAATTTCTGAGTTAACATGAACATCACAGATTTCACAATGAAATGTCTTGTTCTGTAGTCCTGACCCCTTATTGCCATTCTGCATCTTTAATCTTGATCCAGGTCTAGGATAGGACTTAATTGGACCAGCTCCATTACGAGCCTCAACCATGGTCTTGTGTTTAGATCCTAAAATAGAAAAAGGCATATATTAAACAGCTATTTAAGAACTATAGGAAGCAACTTCTATCTCTCTCTCTCTTTGTTTACTTTTTCCTGTCTTTGTTGTCATTGTCGTCGTTTTTTTTTTTTTTGTTTTGTTTTGTTTTGTTTTTTTGGTACTGGGAATTGAACTCAGAGGCTTTTTGTCACTGAGTTACATCACCAGCCCTTTTATTTTTTGAGACACAGCCTCACTAAGTTGCTGAAGCTAGTCCAAAACTTATGGTCTTTCTGCATCAGCCTCAAGTAGCTGGAATATAAGCATGTAGCCTGGCAGGAAGCTCTTTATTTTCTTATCCTTGAGAACGTTATCTTCAGACTGAAGTTCCCAGTGCCTTTTTAGCATCATTTTTACACTAATTGTAAGTTTAACATGTTTTCATTGTAACACATGGGAAACCATGAGTGTATAATAAAATATCCAAAATATTGAGAAAATAAAGATTACCTAGAGTTGTACCACTATAGATAACCACGGTTATCAGGGTTTTTTTTTTTTTTTTTTGCTATGCTAACAAATATGTTTTTTCAGAATTTGGATTTACTAATTAAATATCCTGAAATTTTCAAATATCAAATCATGTATTTATTTTCTAATAATTACATTTTATTGATTAACATATTCTATCATTTTTGGTTACTATAATTTATTCATTATTTCCTTATCAATAAGCTGTTGTTTCTAATTTTTCTCTTATAAAGTGTGTGGCAGTGAATATAGCATAAAACTTTTTGTCTTCATCTTTATTACCTCATCAAAAATGAGTTATAGGGCCAGGGGTGGTGGCACATGCCTGTAATCCCAGCAGCTCAGGAGGCTGAGACAGGAGGATCGCTAGTTCAAAGCCCACCTCAGCAAAAGCAGGGTGCTAAGCAATTCAGTGAAACTCTGTCTCTAAAAAAAATACAAACTAGGGCTGAGTATGTGGCTCAGTGGTCGTGTGCCCCTGAATTCAATCTCCTGGTACCTACCCCCGAAAACAAGTACTTGTTATGGAAAGTATTTGATGCTTTTGAGGGAATGAAGAATAGAATAAGTTTTATCTTTAAACTGCTTTTGCTTTGTTATTTCTAAAGATATTATGATCATAGTTTTAAAAATCATTCCTTTGAACTCAAATGGTAGAGAACACACTATACACACTTCATACCTGGACAACAGAGTGACATTCTGATGGGAAAAGCTGGGTTTTGTTATAAACATTATTTCAATTTGAAAGATAGCTGCTAACCTGTGTTGTGTGCCTCCAGCTGTGACAGGGAGTTCACAGCCACTTTGCATAGTGAACAATAAAGCAATTTTTTGGCTTTCTCTTCTTCGGATTCAGCAACAGACCCTGGTGCTCCATTTGTGCTTTTGGAGGGCGAAGTGGCTGTCCCAGGTGGCAGGGCAGTTGTGCCAGATTTGAGGAGAAATGAGCCACTTTCAGAGCATGATGGCTGACTGRAACTATTGGCTTTCAGCTTTCCTTTATCTTCTAAGGGAGACACAGGGTTATTAAAGACTCATATATCATACAATCATATTAAATCACCATCAAGGAATTAAAAACAAATTTGAAAAATTGAAAAGCAAAATAGAAATTCTCTCAATATATACATAGTTTTTACTTTAGTGCAGATTCGGAATCATAATAGAGTTTGATCTAAACAGAATTCCATGCCACTGGTTTCCATATGAGGTTACCCCAAGATCATGATGACTTCTCACAAAATGACTTTGTTCTCCCTTTAATAAAGCAGGTAATTTTCTGTCTGATTTCCTGGAGTTATAAGTTATGCTCCAGGGAAGTCTTTAATATATAACAACATCAGCTACCCTCCAATATGATTACATGATATGATGGCAACAGGAAAGAAATTATTAGGCAATGTTAGTTTAATTTGACTACTCATGTTTTAATTATGACATGGATATAAAGTTAAAATTGAATTTCTATACCAAGTTAAATTTTTAACTTTGGCTTATAAAGTAGAGAAGAGGGAAGATTAGTTAAGTTTTTGCTCTTTGGCAATGCAATTTATCTAAAAACAAAAGACAAGGTTCCATTCATTATGCTTATTAATTACTGCCAGTCAAAAAAATTTTAAATAATGACATAAACCATAAGCACAATATGAAGATTAATCAACTCATTTAAAGACATCTTGGCATTTAGATCACATAGCTACTAAATGCTTATAATCCTCAAGGCCCATGTGCGTGCAGTGAAGGGTCAAAGTGACTTTAACAGTATCTACCTCCTCAGTATTCATTTGCTATTCAGGACAGTCTTTGTTCAGTGACTCCTATGGGAAAGAAATGAGTTTTGTTGGCAACAGCAAGAGCTGGTACTCAGAAAATGTGTATAGACATGATGATTAACTCTCATTAAGAGAGAAAGGGAATTAAAATTGAAAATACATTTGTTAATTGCCCTAATTCAGAATTGGACACCATTGGCCTGGATGATCAAGAGGATACCTTCCCAAGTATCTAGGGAACGATAACCAATTTTGTGTTTCTGTTTCTGGTATAAGGGTCTGTGTATGGTTTGTGAATCAGCAGTTGAGTTTCATCTTTTTTTCTGATCCATCCATCCACGTGAAGACCAACATAGTAAGGGTGCTACAGGGGGACTTGAGATCTGAGGTTGTTTAGAATATATGAGTGCTGAGATCTTTCCTTACCCTCTGCATTCCATATGTCCTTTCAGCAGGTATATTAAAACTTCAGATGAAATGAACTATTATGGAAAAGTTCTTGGATTTTTTATAAGCTGACCTCAATAGTATGAGAGAAGGAAATAGAATCATTCTTTCTAATTGGTAATAATGAGTAAATTAGCCTGGAGATTATTTCAGATCTGTAACTCTTTCATCTATAAGGACTTCTCAGATTGAATTTGTAATCTTATAGAACTCACAAAGCAGAAAATTAATTCAGTAATTTTCATATTTTCCCCTTTGGAATTACCCAGTTTCTTGTGATGAATACTTAAGTTATTACACACCAAAATTTTTCCTTGCTTTAAGCATTTCATTTGGTGTGTCATTTAAATTTGACCTGAAAGAATCTGATCTATTTCAGTCATTTACTCATACAATCCCTCATATTACCCTTTTAATGTTTCTTATACTAATTTCCCTCATATACCCTTACATTTGTATACAACTTTACAGTTCACAAAGTGCTATTACTTACATTATCTTATGATCTCTCAAAACAAATTAGAATAGGTATGGCTGAAAATGATTTTTCTTATTTTTAAGATGAGGAAACTGAAATTCATCAAGATTAAATAATGTACCACAAATTAGAAGGCAGCATAAATGAGCATGATGTTTTCTCTAACTGATCGTCATTGGTGACTAACCTTCCTGAGTGGAGGGGGAGGGGTGTAACTTGTATCATTGCCATTTAGTTTTAAAGCATATTACTCTTAAATGAATGATTCTATACCTAGAAGACCCTAAAAGTTCCACCAGAAAACTTCTAAAACTAGTAAATGAATTCAGCAATGTAGCAGAATATAAAATCAACACCCGTAAATCAAATGCATTTCTGTGTATCAGCGACAAATCCTCAGAAAGGGAAATGAGGAAAACTACCCCATTTACAATAGCCTCAAAAACAAACAAACAATAAAATACTTTGGAATCAACAAAAGAGGTGAAAGATCTATATAATGAAAATTACAGAATCCTAAAGAAAGAAATCAAAGAAGCCTTAGAAGATGGAAAGATCTACCTTACTCTTGGATAGGCAGAATTAATATTATCAAGATGACCATACTACCAAAAGCACTATACAGATATAATGCAATTCCAATCAAAATCCCAATGGCATTCCTCATAGAAATAGAAAACGCAATCATGAAATTCATCTGGAAAAATAAGAGACCCAGAGTAGCTAAAGCAACCCTTAGCAGGAAGAGTGATACAGGTGGTATCACTATACCAGATCTTAAACTATACTACACAGAAATAGTGACATAAACAACATGGCATTGGCACCAAAACAGACTGGTAGACCAATGGTACAAAACAGAGGACACAGAGACTAACCCATAAAATTACAATTATATTATATTAGACAAAGACACCAAAAACATGCATTGGAGAAAAGATAGCCTCTTCAACAAATGGTGCTGGGAAAACTGGAAATCCATATGCAACAAAATGAAATTAAACCCCTCCCTCTCACCATGCACAAAACTCAACTCAAAATGGATCAAGGACCTAGGAATAAAACTAGAGACCCTTCATCTAACAGAAGAAAAAGTAGGCCTTAGTTTCCATCATGTGGGATTAGGCCCCAACTTTCTTAATAAGACTCCTTTGGTGCAAGAATTAAAATCAAGAATCAATAAATGGGATGGACTCAAGCTAAAAAGTTTCTTCTAAGCAAAAGAAACAATATGTGAAGTGAATAGAGAGCCTACGTCTTGGGAACAAATCTTTGCCCTCACACATCAGATAGAGGACTAATCTCTAGGGTATATAAAGAATTCAAAAAACTAAACACCAAAAAAACAAATAACCCAATCAATAAATGGGCCAAGAACCTGAACAGACACTTCTCAGAAGATGATATACATCATCAACAAGTATCTGAAAAAATGTTCATCATCACTAGCAATTACAGAAATGCAAATCAAAACTATTCAAGATTTCATCTCACTCCAGTCAGAATGGCAGCTATTATGAATACAAAAAACAATAAGTGTTGGCGAGGATGTGGGAAAAAAGTTACACTCATACACTGCTGGTAAGACTGCAAATTGATGCAGCCAATATGGAAAGCAGTATGGAGATTTCTTGGAAAATTGGGAATGGAACCACCATTTGACCCAGCTATCTATACCTGAAGGACTTAAGAACTGCTTACTACAGGGACACGGGTACATCAGTGTTTATAGTAGCACAATTCACAATAGCTAAACTGTGGACAACCTAGATGCCCTTCAACAGATAAATGGATTAAAAAAAAAAAGTGGCCATAATGTATACATTATGGGATGTTACTCAGCAATAAAAGAGAACAAAATTATGGCATTTGCAGGTAAATGGATGGAGTTAGAGAAGATGATGTTAAATGAAGTTAGCTAATCCCAATAAAAAAAAATGCCAAATGTTTTCTCTGATATAAAGAGGCTGATTTACAGTTGGGTAGGGAGGAATAGGTGAACTCTAGATAGGGCAGAGGGGTGGGAGGGGAAGGGAGGGTGCACGGTGGAATGTGATGGATATTATTATCCAAAGTACATGTATAAAGACACAAATGGGGTGAATATACTTTGTATGCAACCAGATATGAAAAACTGTGCTCTATGTGTGTAATAAGAATTGTAATACATTCTGCTGTCATACATAAATAAAAAATTAAAAAATAAAAAAATGCCTAACCACTGATTTGGGTTATATTGAGATGTATAAAATTACATACTTTTCTCTAGATCCCTATTTAAGAAAAATTAAACAGATACCCTTTCTTATAACTTCTTTTTAAAAGAGATAATTTTTAAAAGAGGTAATTTATTACTTAACAATGCATATTAACGTTATGATAATTGCTGACAATGTGCTAGACACTGAAAAGTAAGTGAACTATTATAGACTTTAAGAAAGTTATGGCTTAGGAAGGGAAATGAGATAGTCATTCAGAGCCTCTAATTTATGATAGAAACTAGCAAGAGGCACGAGAGCATAGAGCAGAACATGATGACTTCTGCTTGGGAAGAAAAGGACATTTTTCATTAAGGAAGTGACATTTCAAAGGTTTTGAAGGTCAGATTTAGATAAGCAAAGAATAGGATTGAAAAGAAAGGGAAGCTCAGAGTGATTAGAAGCAGAAATGTGAAGACATGTTTAAGGGGCTACAAGTCCCAGGGCTTACCTGGTGACTACTTGGTAGTTGAGCATACAGCTGGCAATAGGTAGGCGGCCTATTACTACAAAGGCCAACTGAGGCAAAAGGCAAAGAATATCTCAGATCTATTAAAATATAGTTGAGGACATATCAATATAGACAAAAACAGACATTTCTCTTTAAAAGTATATTGAGAGCATTAGTATACTTAACATTGACATGATCTAACATTTAGATAAATAATGTTTGGATTGTTTTCCACCAAGTAGGCTGAAGTCTTAATTTCAGAGTATTAAGACAAATTTGACTTTGGAAATATATAAATGGTTTCAAAGTATTCAGAGAATTCTGGTTTTGGATTGATACCAACTGGTCAGTAAAACATATCCTAAAATCAGGAAAGTCACTCATGGTTTATATATTTAAATTGTGGCATTCTTTCTGGATGTGTAAATTTATAAACTTCAAAGCCTAATTTTTTATTATCTCCTCTCAATGACTTAATATTTTGGTCAAAATTCACTATATTAGTTTTCTTTCCTTACTGGCTTGTTTAAAGCCTCCTTATTTTGTGTATTTGTAAGTTTAATTAATGTACTGTTTACTTCTGTTTCTTTTAATAAAGAT